TCCCAAGGAGTTCCTGTGCCCTGGGCTTGGAGCTGGCCCAGGGGATGGCTCCACTGCCAGCTCAGTGTTAAGACAGTGTATTTTAAAATTGGAATAAAATTCCAAAAAAGCCCAGGAATTTTAAGCTAGAAAAATAATAGAGCTTAAAAGATTCATAAACTAGTGGACAATTTTAAAGAGAAATTCTGGAGAGAAGATTTGTCTCCTGCCCAGCAAGAAAAAAGTGAAGAAAAAGCATCTGTGCTTTTCAGCCCCTGTGTTCCCTGTTTCAGCCTCTGTGTTCCCTGTTTATTATCTACCCCTTCCTGTTCTTCCTGGGGTTTCGTGTTCATTTAATTCTATTTCTCCTTACAAAAATAAACCTCCAGTATGTATTTTAATTTATTCCCAGTCTGCTGTAATTTAGTTGCAGATAAACACATGGTTGCCATATGACAAAGTGATATTGAAAGGAAATGAGACACAGAATTTTGTGTACTCGGGCCTTGGTTATGCTGCGTTGGCTCTTCTGTAGACCTACAGCCTAGTTCCAATTAGGAAAAATACAAAAATTATGGAAAATTATTGGTCACATTGTGAGCATAGTGACAAACTGAATCATGTAAACTCTTGGGGAGTCAAGCACGAAAAATAATAATGTTATGGAAATATGGAAGGAGGAAAATAAGTGGCAATGGAAATAGAATTGGGGCCAAAACAGAGAAGCTGTAATCAAGGGAAGAGAAAAGGAAAGAAAGAACGAAGCAGAGGGATTTCACTGGCAATGGGCACAAGCCCCTGGATTTGGGGCTGGTGGTCAGTGGTTTCAGGTACATGTGCAGAGCACTGGCTGATCCACGAGAGGCAGCTGCAAGATTGGATCTTGGCAAAGGGATCAGTGACTCAGGTCACAGGTCTGGGCTGCTAAAAAGGGCAGGTCTGAAACCAGGTGGGTGCAGAGCACTTCTTATCCAAGGAACCAACCAGCTGTGCCTGAGCTGCAGGAGGGAACCAGGCACGTCCTGAGCTTGGGACAGATTCTGGTAAATGTTTGCAAAGATTTGCCCTGTTCAGGGTGACATTCCAACTGTTATTTATAGAATCCCAGGATGGCTCCCGTTGGAAGGGACCTTTAAAGATCCTCTCATCCCACTATCCCAGGCTGCTCCAAGCCCTGTCCAGCCTGGCCTTGGACACTGCCAGGGATCCAGGGGCAGCCACAGCTGCTCTGGGCACCCTGTGCCAGGGCCTGCCCACCCTCACAGGGAACAATTCCTGCCCAATATCCCATCTATCCCTGCCCTCTGGCAGTGGGAAGCCTTTCCCTGCTCTCCTGTCACTACTTGCCATTGTCAGACTTTCCTATAGGCCCTCTAATCTGCTCCCAAAATTCTCCTTTCCTCTTCTAGTAAGCGAGACTTGCATGCTGGTTGTGTCCCTTGTGGTTTTAGTTTTAAAGGCAGAGGACTGAGCCTGGCTGAGCAGGGGGGTGGGCTGGGAGTGCCACGGGGACAAAGCCACTTTATCATTTTGGACCAAACCACTTTGACCTTGTGCTCTTCTCGTCCTTGGTTCCGCCGGCGCCGGAGGTTTGGGTGATTGGCATCACAGGGATCACCAGCAGGACTGGTTTGCTTGAGCAGCTTTCCCTCAAGATGGGAGCTGCATTTATTCTGAGACTTAATTACGAGTGGTGAAGCTTCATAAATCCATTCTGAAAATACAGTGTTTCTATGGGGTGTAATTTAGTTGAAGGGTTCTTGGTTACAGTTCCTTTAGTTGCACAAAGTGAGAAACTTCCACTTTCTAAATGTGCCTTTGTTGCTTTAGTGAAATTCATTTTAAAAATCACTGGTGTTATGGCCATGTTGGGATTTGAGGTCTTGATGCTCCCAGCCGTGTGTGATTTCAGTGGGTGATAACGTGGCCTTAGCTCAGCAAACCATACAGAGAAATCACCCAAATCAGAGCCTCCTGGGCAGGTTTAGAAATTGCTTCTCTGTATAGAGGAGCTTGTGGTACTATAACTCTTTATACACATCCTTCTTCCAGAACAGCAAGTTCAGAATTAGCAGTAAAAGGGAGCTGTTGTTCCAGCTGGGAGCAGTCGTGTGTTTTCTTGCTAAGTGGGACAGAATCAAATTTATCAGCTTTTATGTGGCATCTCTCTTGCCAATTTTGCTTTGTATTTGTAGCTACAGCTTTTAAGCTGAACACATTCATAACATTTTCCTTAGCAGAGATTTCGTGTGCAGAAAATTGCAGTGCAGCTGCAGAATAATAGAAATAGCTGCTACAAGTGTATGCCCTGGGATGGCTCCGTGTGTGTGTAAAATCTGTCATGGGAGCAGAGCAAAGCTGTGCATTCCATCACCACGGTCCCTTTGTGGTTTGAGACTATTCCTGTTTGAGACAAAAGTTCCCATAAGATTCCCTGCTTGGACTCCTGAAGGAGCTGGAAAAGCAATTTCCGTCTAGGAGTAATAATAGCTTGGACTTTTGGTTTTGATCATAAGCTGACATTTAAAAGTCATCTGAGGAAAGATATTTCTTGATGAAAGTCAGGTTTTGCTTGATGCAGTTGAGGCTGATCCTTCCCATCTGCTATCACGTCCTTGATGGGATCTCTTTCCCTGGCCTCGGGTCTGGTTTACGAGATCCCTCAGGAGCTCCTGACTTTCCCAAGAGACCTTTCAGTGGCTCAGCTCGTTCTGTTACTCCGGTTTTGTTGCTCAGCTTTTCCTCTCCTCAAGGGAAATTTGGAAAGTTGCTCAGCAGAGAAGATGAGGTGGCAATGTGGTACCCACAGAGTGTTTGGAATTGGGGATCTGCCCGTGCTCACCCTGTGCCTGGCTGTTCAGTCACCTGCCAGATCCCCACAGTTTTAACTGCGGCATTCAGAACCTGCACTCAGTATTTTCTGCATGGAATTTGAGGCAGATTGCGTGACTGTATTTCCCAGAGTTCATTCCTGGAACTGTCAGTGTTTAAGGATGCTGCTTGATCCTGGGTGTGGTAGCGGGGTGTTGGTGGAAGGTGGGAATGGCAGCTGGGATCCTCGCACGGATCTGGGCTGGGGCTGCCTCAAACCACTGCCAGGGCTTGGGTTATAGCAAACAGGCATGTAGGTATTTGTGGTTTGGCTTTTTGTGTGTTTTGTGGATAGCTAAAATATGACCTTTCCCACTGAAAAGCTGGATTTTATCCCAAATCCTGTGAATTTCACACAGGATTGGATTCTCACAGCGTTCAGGTTGGTTGCCAGAACGCCAGCACTGAGGGAAGGCACAGCATGGCCCTTGCTGTGTGCAGAGCTCACTGGAGCTCCCTCTCCCAAGTATAGGGAAGCTTTTCCACAGGAAATCATACACTGGGCTTTCCTTGAGTTGGCTCTGGCTTCCATAGAACATAAATACCACCTCCCACCCAAGCTTGGGGGGAACGTGTCAGTCACAGCAGCTGCACAGGAACTCCTCAGACAGTCCTGGGAGCATTTCATTTTGTTTTGGCAATTGTAACTCTTATCTGGTTCCTCTGATCTGTTTTCTCTGGTGATTCCCAGTGTCTGGGTGTGGGTGGATGAAGTGTGGCTCGGTGTTCAGCTATGGGATACTCGGGGTCCCTTGTAAAGGAGGGATGCACAGGCTGAGTTCCAGGTAGAAACTAACCCTGCATTCCCAGTATCTACACCTGGAACTAAAGGATCCCTGGATCCTCCCAGGCCTCTGACACCAGGCAAGGAGAGGCTCATGATGGAAGTCAGGCATGGGTTATTGAGAAGGAAAGCCTGGAAATTTTGTTTTGTTATCAGAGGGGCATAATTCCACGGGGATTAAAGCTGGAAGAGAATCCCTGCTCTGCTGGATGGGTGACCTTTGATCAGCCACACTTCTACCACTGCAACTGCCCTGCTCAGCGTCCTCCCTTCTGTGTCTGTGTTCCCAGGACACATCATGTTGTTATCCTCACAGTAAATACAGTACTGGACACTGGGTAGAAATTAAAATGAGCAAATTCCATGTGCTGTATGTCATTTGGCATCCTGCACAGCCCCCCTTCAGTTTGTCAGAAATTCCTAAAACAGAGCAAGGTCACATCTGGTAGCAATTTTGCTCTGCCAGATGAGGCGTAATCCCATAAAACCAAACTCATTTTCTCCAGTGCTGCTCGAAGCCGAGCTCTCCTGCTCCTTTTCCATAAGACCTGCTGCTTGAACTGGGAGCTCTGTGCAATAATTCAGGCTGGGAGACTTTTCACACTTTATAAACTGCAAGGTTTGGAACACAGCTTTGTGTCCAGCACACGAGGCAGGACAAGCAGCACTGCCCTGGACTCTGTGGCTCCGTTCTGTTTCCTTTTCCAGCAGCAGGTCCCTGTAGGTTGCTGTTCCTTGGTGCTGGGTGTCTGTGCATGCCCTCATTCTCTGGGTAACCTGGCACCTGCAGCATCCACAAGAGCTAGGAGTGCTTTTAAAAGAGCTCTAAAGTTCTGAGGCTTTCACAAGACACGTCGAACACATCAGATGGACTAACAAAGTAATGGAGCAATCACCAACCTTTGCACATTGTAGTAACTGAAAATAATTCTCAGAAACATGGAATTTTAATAGGAGCCAGTATTTTTGTTTGATCTTGTTGCTGTTGTCCCATATGTTGCTAACATTGGTTATTTTGGTATTTCATTTGCTTAATTCCTCTTTCAAAGTCTTGTGTGGAGCTTGGTGTCCATGTCAAACCAGAGTGTACCAGTGACCTGTCATCACTCACAGAGGCACGGGGGTGACATGATGATGTATTTATTATAAGATGTTATTAAATCCAATTAACAAACTTGGTTAAAATAAAAAATTTCTTTCAAGGTTTCCTGGGTTTTATGTAAGGATCTCTTAAAAATGAAACCAACATGTCAGAATTTCAGAGAGAGTATTGTTACTCTTAACTTAGTGCAATCCACCACGGCTGGGTAGGAGCCACCTTATCTGCTGTGATTTTTATGAACCAGTTGTACTTTTTTGTTCACAGGCCAAGTATCCCGACATCGTGACCCTTCCAGAAGGACTGCTGGGAGATTTTATAATTCTGAGGAACCCCAAAGTTTCTGGGTAAGCCAATAAATGCATTTCTGTATTTACACAAGTGAGGGATTGCACAGGCTGGGCAGCAGCCTTGTGCTGCACCTCTGGGCTCCTTCTGTGGAGGAGGTGCAGGGATCCCAGTCCCATCCCAGCAAAGCCCAGTTCCTTGCCATTAAAGAACAGAAAGAAAAGGGCATTTACTGTGCAAGGCAGCAAAGCAGCTGTGGCTCTACTTTTCCATTGTTTTAGAAGGAGTTAGTAGGATGAAGGAATTATTACCTACCAGGCACATGGGATTTGTTTGGCCTCCCCATGAGAGCTGTTCCAGTACATTTGGGATTTTCAGCAGGGGAAAAAAAATCCTTACAGTTAAATGTAAGATGGTGCAAATATCACTGTCAGGAATTCTGTAAGGGCCACGAAAAGCAACTATTTTGTGACAGGATCAGACCATTCCCTTCTCCTGTCACACCTTGCTTTAACCTGCTTTCATTTACATGGAAGTAAGGCACAGCTCCCTTCATTATGTTTGTGTGTAGAACTGCAAACAAACCCTAAGAGATGAGGCTGCTTCATTCAGCCAAACTTGCCCTTTAAAACTAAATGCTTTTACTTGGGGGTGCAGGAATGAATTGTTCTGAAACTATCCCAGATAGGGTAGAACTTGCTTTATTTTACAGTTTCTCCCCTGGTGCCAGTTGCCAATCCCATTACCCTCATTCCCTCTCACCCACAGTCCGAAACACAGGAATAGAAAAGTCATTTCAGTGGCTTGGTAGAAAACAGACTGGCATAGAAATTTGTTTGCAAAATCCCAGAACAAGCTGGGCACAAATTCCCAAAGGATTGGTAAAAATGAAGTGGCAAAAGGCTGACAAACCACATTGGAAGAGAAACTCTTTAAGTCATGATGGGTTGAACAGCACTGAGAAAGGGACCTTTCTCCTCACAGTGACTCACTGTGCAGAGCAGCTTTGGATTAGGAAAGCCTTACCTCCAGTAAGGGAGTTGAGGGTTGGAGGGAACAAAGGGAGCTGTGGGTGGTGTTCTGGACTCAGCCCCTGCCTCACCATTCCCTTGGGATGGTGCAGTGATCCCATCCCAGTGTGAAAGCTGGGAATCATGACTGGCCTTGCACAACCAGCAGTGTTCCTGAAGAAGTAACGATGTTGTTCGGCTTTATTTTTTTTTAATTAAAAGCAAAGAACTGCAGGAATGTAGGCCTCAGACCTGCCATTAGTCTAAAAAGGCCATGAATAGCAGGGTAGCCCTTGTTCCAAACCCAGCACATCACCATTTCTGAAAACACTCCTGAAACAAGTTTCCTGTTCTCAGCACCTGATCCCGAGTGTAGATACGACCTGAGGGGTAGAGCCAGGGGACACTCAGTGCTCTCTCTCCTTTGCTTTCCTCTCACTTTTACTGCACTGTGCAAACCTGGATGGAGCCAGAACGTTTCCTTGTCATTGCATTGAAGTCTTCCTGCTTCCTGAATCCAGAGATGGTTCGTTGCAGTATGTGAAGTGAATGTTGTTGCAGAGCACGAGGTTGAACCTCATGACTGCTGCACTTTTGGCTTTGAAGGAACCTCAAAGCCAGCACCTGGTTAAGCTGAACTGCCTTTCCTGTGCACCTGATACAGGTTTGAACTGATGATTGTCTGGAAGATCCATCTTGATGAAGAAGGGACCACTACACCTGTCCTGGACCTGCTGCCCAAAGTGCCAGAGCAAGGTAATCTCAGTCACTTCAGGGACTGTTCCTGAACTGCAGGCCCCAGTTTTGGCCATGGAATTCCAGCTCCCAAAGCCCAACCACACAAACCCACCCCAATTCAGCAGCAGCTACACTTCACCTCCTGTGCAATCTCCAGGGGCTCCCAAACCCTGCCTGCCTGCAGGCATCCTGCTTTATTTTACCCAGCTGCTGTCAGCCCTGCTGCAGCTCTTGGAACATAACCTGCACTGCTGTTTCTCCTGCAGTCCTGGAGCAGAGGATGAGGAGTGTGGGGAGCATCCCTGGCAGCTTCCGGAGCGTGCTGCGGCTCTTGGGCATCGAGGCAGCCATCGAGAACCTGATCAAAGTGCTGGGCTCAGAAAAATGAATGCCAGCATTACTTACACCAGGTAGCAATTTCAAAAGTAGTTTTAATTAAGATATTGTGTTACACAGTCTGTAATTTTATTGAATATAAACATTAAGTTATTTTCCATTTAGAAACCATACTCATAAAACATGCTATCTGTACAATTATGGCACGTTATATATAAATTGTCATGACATGAAAATAAATACAGCCATTTAAATACAAAAATGCCAAATAAAATAGTTACATGTACAGAGTGATTTCATTATAAATTTATCTTTCTGAATCATTAATGTACCAGAGTGGTTTATCTTCTTAACATTTTCTAGATACCTGGAAATTGTTAAAAGATCATGCACTGTCAAAATCAAGTCCATAAAAATCCAATTCATTTCACAGCTCTGTAAAAGTACAGTGATTTTAAAATGACAAAAGAACAGTAAGAGACTCCTAGAACAAAGAGTTAAACAGCTTTCTCATTAAATTAGGGTAGAAGAAGACAATTTGAAGATTTCAAAGACATACAATGCTAAAAAAGCCAAAGGTAACTGTATGAAGTAACTTTGTTCCACAATGTGTGTTGAGACAGAGTTAAGCTAACCCAGAGAGGCCCGTGACACCCCTGGGAACAGGAGAGCCAGTCCCCTCCTGCCCACTGCAGCACTTCCTTTGCATTTCTGACTTCCAGGAGGAAATCCTGGCAACACATGAGCAAAGCATCACCGTTCACACATTCATCCCTGAAGAAATAAAACAGATCAGACAAATGTCTTGCCTCTCCCTTCACTTCCATCAGATGTGCCATAAGCCCACCAGGGAATTCTCAGTGTTTCCAGGAGTTCCTGCTCTGCACTAGCACTGCACCCCAACCAAACTGATGTGACTGAAGGTCGGGTACTTCTCAGGTGGGGAGTAACAGTTCCTGGGACCAGGAGCCCAAACCCACCAGCTCTGGGCTCTCCTGGGGCAGGAGGAGCCCTCCTTTCCAAGGCCAGAGCTGCTGCAGCCCCTGGCAGCACAACCACCCACTCCATGCAGCAGTGAGAAAGAGGTGAAGTCTGAACTAAAGCAACATCCCATAAAGGTAATAATCCACTATTTAATCACTGAAATTGTCTCCCACTGTTCTGGTAGGTTAGGAAAAACTGACAGACCAGAGCCTGGTTTCTGCCAGACTCTGAGCAACACCAGACATTGGGTTTTGATGAATGGATGGCAGCTCTATCTTGTTAGATGAGGCAGGCTCATTTCAAGCTTGGAATCCAGTACACAGGCAACATTCCTTCCTACTTGTCCACTGACATGGAACTGGTTGAGCCAGTTTTGTGTAACCTTCAATTAATCTTTAGCTTCCTCCTCCTTGCCTTAAAATTAAACTGTTTGCTCAGCACAGACACTGCTGTTTGCAGATGAAATGTGTGTAAAGTTACAGCATAAAAACCTGGAAACTTCCCAGCTGTGCAGGGTCCTTCCTTCCTCCTCTTTCTAATAGCTGGAGGGTTTCTGGATTTATAAGGAGCTCTCCTGCTCCAGGTTTTCTTTGGGAAGAAGGGGTTATTCCTGCTGTCAGCTGTCACCTCATTGCACTCTTGTAGTCTCACAGCTCAGGCCTGCCCCAGAAGGGCTCCTGGCACTGGGTGCCATCACTGCCAGTTCAGGTCTCTGGCACAGGGACAGTGGTGGCTCTGTGCTTCACATTTCTTCCTTCAGTTGTGCCAAGGTAGAGGGGGTGCTATTTTTGAATTTCAGGTAAAGTGGAACAATTTAAAGGTTACACTGAGGTCCCAATATAAACCTCTCCCTACACCCTGAACACCATTGCTGGTAGGCACAGGCTGTATCCAGGTAAGAGCTGTTCACTGGGGCTGAAGGAGTAGCTCTGCACCATTCAGGGGGTGTAAGCCTTGAGGGGAACAGAGCTGCAGATTTTATCATTCACCCTCAGGTTTGGCCATACCCTTCAGGTCCAGCTCAGGATCTTCCCCAAGGATGGCTTTGCTGCAGCACCTCCCCAGCCTTCAGCTGCAGCACTGGCACAAGCTCACCCTGGCACAAGACTGACCCACTGCAGCTGCAGGGAAGAAAATGGGGTTCTGTCACCTTTTTCCTGTGTCATTTACAGCACAAGAGCCTGAAAGCAGCTGCTCATGCTATGCAGTGTGTGGGGCATCAGTGTAATAGTGCCAATGTTTGACACATCCTGAAAGACCTGAAATGACCTGTAAAACTCAGAGCATATTCTTCTTATAGCTCAATTTAAATCAGGCAAGAGCAAGCTGTGGTTTCACCTCCAATAGCAGCATATAGTGTACAGAGACAATAAAAACCAGCATGGCAGGTGAGTTAAGCCCAACTATCATGTAAAACTCAAGGTTGCTTACCTTAACCCTTTGCACTTTGTTTCAGAAGCTTTAGGCAGATACAAGGTGATCACACAACTTCTGGAGGCAGCCTGGTGTTCCTAGTCCATGCATTAGTACTTAAATGTTCTGCAGTGCCAGGGCAGTCCCACAGAGCAGCCACTGCATGGTTGAATTTCCAGTGGATTAATGCTAAAGTGTTGTACAGGATTTGCCAGAGCATTCCCTCCCTTAGTAGGGATGAGGGAGACTCAAAGCACAGGGTCCAAGGTAAATCTCTTGTTAGTAATTAGGCTTTCTATGTTAGTGCAATACTTCAGGAAACCTTTAATTCTGTGCTCTTTCAATTCTAAGGATTTTCAAATTAATTTGATCTGTCCTCTAGTTCCAAGGTATGGCACATTACCTGTTCTGTCACATTAAATACATTCATTAAGGTTATCTAGCAAACATGTGGCTTAGTGCTATCCCAGGTCTCTGAGAAGGCATTACCCATTAAAAATCATTTCATAAAGCAAAAACATTCACAGCTGAAAAATGCACTGAACACAATAGAAAAGAAAAAAAAATCACCATAACTGTATTCCAATAATCTTTCACTTTCTCATGTGTTTGAATAAAAATAACCTTAAGGGAATGGTTACACTTTATGGAGAACTAATGTGCAGTCTTCATTCTCCTTGAAGAGGTTGGACATAACTGGGTCCTCTTTGGCCTGTACATTTTTCAGGTAATAGTTGACTATTTCACCATCGAGTTTGTACTGGTGGGGGATGCTTTCATAGGGCTTCAGGTCCAGGTCCAGCACAGAAACAGAGAAGGTGAATCTGGACTTGGATGTCAGTACCACAGGTCTTTGCTCAGAGCTGGAAAATAAAACCACATTGCACATCTGAGTCACTGAAACCAGTAGTTGTAATTTATGTGTCCCTTTGCAGAAGTGATTCTAATGTTTATCTTAGAACTTTTGTGGGAGCTAAAGAAAATAAACTGCAGCTAATGTAGCACTTAGGAAACTATAGCTCCAGCTTTACCAGTCCTGATGGGACCTTGCTGGCACCTCTTCTTTTCATTTTCCTTTCAGCTTCCACACAGCTGAAGGCACACATTACTCTCATTTGCTGTATTCAGTAAATCTAAGCTGTTTCTAGGTGGTGCATACAAAGCAACAGCCTTATTAACAGCAAAAGCAGAAAAGGGACTGCAACTCCTACTTAGGCTCAAGGTAATAAAACTTTTAGTACACTGTCCAAGCATGCTAAGGGATGGAGGAGTTCTGAAGTCAGCCATTGCACAAGTCATGTCCATCACTAACACTTCACTGGAGAACTGCAGGACAAATGCAGAAAACAGCATTCTCTAAAAATAAAAGGGCTCTGGTGAAGCAAAGCCCCCTGCAGAAGAACAGATTAGCACTGCTGACACAAACCAAAAGGGATAATATTGTGGCAAAGCCTCCTGCCTGACAGCCAAAGCTGTCACCTCTTGATTATTGCCTTGGTTTTATTGTAACTGGGCCATTAAAGGCAACTCAGCTTGAAAAATTTCTCCTATGAGAACACCAAGGCAGAAAAACTGTGCCTAGTTAAAACCATCCAGAGCTACTATGAACAGTCAATTCAAAGTTGAAAAAGGGAATAAATATAAAACTTTTATCCTTTTGATCACGTTAAAACTCTTTAGAAAGAGACACTGGTCATAAATGTCTTAAACCACAACTATACTAAAATGCTCACAGCCAAATATTTGGACACACCACCCCCCAACACACATCCCACACTTTTTCAAAGTGATTCAATTGCCTGAACAGTACAAACATCCCAATTTCTAAACAAGTGGAGCCATTCCAAAGCAGGTACAGGCAGCTCTTACCATTCATCTTGCAGGCAGGGGGAAAGGGCAATCATGATGGAACAGTCCTTAGCAGTCATTGCTATTCTGTACTGCTGCACCTGTACATCAGAAAATTGCACACATTTTCTCTTAGATTGGTGTTTACCTGAGTAAAGCATCCTGTTCCTTACAAAAAGCAGCACTGCACTCCCTGTATTGGTATGCTGGCACTTTAAGAGCTGGAAATTCTCTCTGGAACAGAAGGTTGGCAGGAGCAGGTGCTTTTGCAGCATCCTGTATAAGTCACATTCATTTCCTACAGATCATATTCATAAAGGCCAAACAGCACCAGTTCCTGCAAATGCTTCCTCAGTGTAGAAAGCAAATAAACAGTTGTATTTTTCTCTCAGGAACTGGTGCTGCAAGCTTGTTTTTAACTGCTTCTGCTATAAGGATGCACCCTGACACAATGAAGCACTTTAACTGCACAGACCCTGACAAACCAGCAGTGCTGCCTCCATCCATTGCCCAGCCCCTCCAGTGAGACAGAGCTTAATTAACACTGACAAACCTCAAGGAGTTGAGCAGTACCTTTGTTAATGCAAATGCCACTGTCCCATCATCTTCCAGGGAAAGGTCCAGCAGCTTCTCATAAAACGCTTCATTGTAAGGTCCATCTATCTGTAATGTACTTCTAAATAAATGTTAAAAGAAGATTTACAGACAGCCAAAACGATCTGCTGGTTTTCAGTGTGATCTTTCCTCAGCAGCCCAGACACTCAGATTAGAACAACCCAACAATAACACTGATAAACATATCCCAGTATTAACCCACTGCCAACCACCACCACAACAGTCCCTGTTATTCTCAAATCACTCGAGACTGGCTGCTGCTTAGGATCTGGGTTGTGTGGGGGTTTATAAACATGAATCATTCTTAATCCACTGCCATCTCTGTATCACTGCAAAATTATGGGGTTTTGCAAAAATATGGGTAAGTTTCAAAATTTGTAGCAGTCTGCAGGAGCTCCAGAAGCCTTGCTGAAAATACATATATAAGAAATATATAATAATATATCGATACCTATTTTTATATGTATATTATTTTGTACATAAAAAGTATCAACTGGGGGCAAAGGCAGATCTGACAGGGCCCTGCTCCAGCACCATGTGCTAATGGGGGGTTGTCCTGGGCTCCTTCTTCCCCCTTTGAACAGCTGAGCCCCTGCTGAGAAAACTCCCAGGGGAGTTTGTCCCACACAAACCCCCACAGATCAAAGAACACATTTTGCAGTGCTCTGCACAAGCAGCAGCAGCTCCTGAGTGAAGCCAGAGTGCCCTCGTGTGAGCACAGGAGAGGAACAGCACCCAGTGGAGGCTGCTTGGAGCAACTATAATTACACTAATAAGCCTTATTTGAGGGAAAAAACCACAGCAGTTTGCATTCATCATTGCAGAAAATTATTACCCCTGCAGACATTCCCAGCTCTGCAGGTACTGGGGACTGGAGAAACCACCCCTTTCACTGTACCCTTCTGCAAATACACAACCCCCAGTTCTAAGAGAGTGTTCTCCTCTCTTAGCCTGTTGTGAACATTCCACAGTCACTACTTTAAAATTCAGGCCAAAGTGACCAACACCAGCTGGAAGTTCAGTTGGAGATCAGAACATGCAGTGCCATGGAGGAAGGCTGTACCACAGCACAGTGTGTGCACAGAGCCAGTCCTGCCTGCAGTCCTGGCTGCTCAGGATGGGAAAGAAGAGCCACCAAATCTTACCTCTCTTCAGGAAATTCCTCCAAGTACTGTTCAACTCTACTGTACAGAGGATAGAGTCCTTCAATATCCAGCATGTCAAGCATCTGAGCCTGAAGGGTTTTATAAAGGAGACAACCCCTCGGTAAACCAGAGCTTTCCAACTTATGTTTACCTAGAAGAAAATGCATTTTAAAATAAGGCAGACACAAGTCTTAGTTTCAATTTGCCATTACATGTGCTTGTTCAAAGTCCAAATACTTTTAGTCCAGTCACAGGTAGGGGGAAACCTCAAAACACTTCAGTTTCCTAACAAAAGTGCAAGGTACTGACCTGCACAGTTAGACAGCTCATCCTGGACTGCAGAATAAAACACCTGGTATTCAACTCTACAAACTACCTAAGAAAACAAACACCAAAACACACCCACATCCACTGCAATCTACTCATTTTGAGTCCACAGGAGAAATTTCTCATCTGAGTTTGAAGCCACCACAAATTCACTTTGAACAGTATCAGCTGCTGACAGTAATTTAGCATTTCAGCTCTGGGGTCTTTTTTATACAGTATCAAGAATTGTATTTGCTATAATTTCTCTAGGACAGCTCTTCTTTCTCCAGCACTATAACAAACCATGGCAGTGAAAAAGGTCTTCCTCAAAAGCAGAGTAAGAAATGTGCTGTTTGTGTAATTAGGGTAACTGGCAGCATCTTGAATAATTAGAGCTCTACAGAACTTATGCACTGAGAAATTAACATAATTTACAATTTTCCTACTCTCACTTCCCATTCCTCTTCCCTCTGGTATTCAGACCTCTCTTCACCAGAAGAGCAGCTGAAGAAAAGGACATGAGCTGTGCCCTGGTGAGGGTTGACAGGAGGAGCAGAGAAAGGCAAAATACAGGTGTAATAAACCAAAAGCAGCCCAACTTCATCACAAACAACATAAAAAATCCCCACTCATTTGGAATAGCTATGATTGCTATCAGCTCAAACTGCTATTTTCTTCCATTTTTCCTGTACCACCTCCTGAATTTATTTTTATTTATTTATTAGATACAGTGCTGTAAGTGCTCACTACAATGTCACGTTATATTAACAACAATTATCTGGCAGCTATGCAGCTCAGAACTCGTTTTTTAACTGCCACCAGAATTCCCGTTTCCATTCTCATACCAGTATTTATAACCAAGAGACAAAGATCTGAATTGTTACATCAGGCAAGGCTGTGAGAAACCTGCTCTGGTGGGAAGTGTTCCTGCCCATGGCAGGGGGCTGGACTGCGTGGCCTGTGAAGTTCCTTCCAACCCACACCACTCTGGGATTCCACAAACAGTAAATTAGGGACAGTTTTTACAAAACTATCCCTTACCATTTCTCACGAGCTCCTTGTTAAAAGCACTTGCTTCACAGTAGCTCCTCCCTTGTGAAATGGGAACTGTCTTCATGTGGCCTGCCCTGCAGGAGTCGGTGCTGCTCAGCAGCGCCATGGTGATCACGTGGATCAGCTCCTTAACAATTGTCCTTGTGCAGTGGGGGCCGCTCACCAGCCCGTTGGAGGGGAAAAAGAAAGGCTTCAAGTGACGAGCAAGGTCATTCCAGTCAGAGACACAGTCCTGGTCATCCTTGCAGCCATAAATTAGTTCCCCGTTCTGCAACAAGGAGAAAAAGAAGTTTTTAGGCACATCAGAAGTCAAGTTATTCATACTGAACTATTCAGAGTGCCAGGTCTAATATTTTAAGCATAGAAAAGTGTCATTACCTTAACAATACAGACACCCAACATTCCCAATCTCTTAAAGATTTGTCCTCTTAAGTCTAATCAGAACCTGCAGGTAACAACCTCTAAATTACAACCAAAACCACTGTTTAAATCAAGTTACTTTCCCAACTTAATGGCCTGTAAGGAATCAGAACAATGCAGGTGAATGATACTCGGCACATTTTCCTATCACTTCTTTCTGAATAATGTCAGGAGTGGAAAAGCACTGTTTGAAACACCCTTTTTTACCAGCCCAGACTGGCAAAGGGAAGGCTGTGAAAGGGGACAGAAAAGGTGTGACAGCTACTTACTGGTACAAAAAGAGGGCCACTCATAGAAGTTTAAGTAATTCAAATAGTTGACTGAATATTGGAAATAAATTGAAATAATCTTGTTTCCTAGAATTAATCTGAAAACCTCCACAAATCATCAGTTACTGCTTCATATTTTTCCTACATGAGTGTCATGGAATGCCACTTTTTCCTTCCTCAAGTGAGGCCTGCCATGCCCTGGGCCTGCATCAATGCTCTAACAGGAATCTGAAACAAAGTACTTGCAGCAATATGCCACGTTCTCCATTTTCTTCTTCCTGAAGTGGCACATAAAGTTTTAAAACTTTGGTCACCTTAAGAGTCCTTTTCTATTAATTGCTCCTCAGTGATTCCTTCCCACTAATTCATTCCCCGGGGAATGGTCACAGCCCCAAGGCTGCCAGAGCTTCAGGAGTATTTGGAAAATGCTCTCAGCCACAGGGTGGGAGTGTTGGGGTGCCAGTGCAGAGTTGGACTTTGACAATCCCCATGGGTCCTTCTAACTCAGGATGTTCTGAGTCTGGGTAATTATTACTTCTCTGTCCTCATCTGAAATCTAAGAACTTCCCCATTTCCTTCTCTTGATAGGGTCCGACAGTGATGGTCTGATTAGGTGTTTGAAAGAAGAACTGGACTGTTGAGATGCTCAAGTCAAATTGTTTAAAATCCAAGGCAAAAAAAAGCAAGCAGAGATTTAACTTTACCTTAAATATTTTCAAGTTGTTCTGTGCCTCCTGTAATAAGCTCTTCAAAGCAAAGTGCATTCTTTGTTTATTTCTAGGGGAAAAAAAGCCAAGAATGTTTCATCACAGCCTTTGGATGTTCACACCTGGCATGAGCACATGCACTGAGCACATTACTCACATTGAGGTCATGGCAAAGGCAAAGTGAACTTCAGATCTGAGTACACTAAACAGCTCTTGGGTGCAATGCTATGCTGCAAAAGGCAGCTCTGATTGCTGAGATAGGTGTAAAGGGGGAAATAGCAGATTATATAAGCACTGTAAAGGTCCAGACAAGCTAGCATTGATCATCCATAATACCTCAGTGAAAGGCAGAGTAATCCAAGCAAGAAATCTGTAATGCAGATTTCTTTTTGTGGGGGCAGGGGTAAAAAAACCACAGAATGCTTACCCTGAGAAGAGATCCAATGGGCAATATTTACTTGGTCGCTTCCATTTTCCATTGGCTACCTGTGGAAAACCCAGAGCACTGCTGTTACCCTCCCTACCTGGAATAGCTGCTCCCCCATTTTAACAGCCAGGTCTGTGACACTGACATCCTGCCTTCAGAGGTCAGGATATTTAAACCACTTTGAACACAAAATTCATGACCACTGTGGGTGTTTCACAGTCATTTTTAACTCAAGCCACTCAAACTGCGTTCACAAGGGAGAAAGGTCCCATTAAATCCCAGGGAGTCACAGTCACACCATTCCAGAGTCACAGCAGGCAGGAGTCCATGAACTCCGTGCCTGTTACGTGCTGTTTGTTCTCAGTCACAGAATGCACTTGGTGAGCTGATCTGGGAAGGAAGTTCCACATCAGAGCTGACCCAATCACAGCGTTCATAGTCCCCAAAGGCTGATATTGTATTTGTTTGCTTCCAGCTTCCCACAGAACTTGTTCCATCTCTCACTAAACAAATTCACACCCAGCAACTCAGCTGTGTATCCTCCTACCAGCTTTAGTCATATCAGAGATTTGAGCAAGTTTCAACAGGAAAGCAAGCCTGGAACAGCAAACAGAGCACAGTACAGCCAAAGGAAAGCAGGGTGACTTAATTATTACCTTTAGATGCTGATGCATACAGTAACGACACACCTTGTGCTTTATCTCCTGTGAAACATGGCTGGAAAAAGGAATGAAGCCACACTTTGGCTAAAACAAACAAACAAAATAAGATTGTAAATACAAATGTCTCTCTCTATAGAAATATAAAGGCATACATGATACAAACAGTTAAAGGAAAACTTTTAAAAATTATAAAAAATTCCAGCATTTAAAAGCTGAATCACTCCCTATTATTTTAAAAAATAACGACACACCAAACTGCTGTGGCCTACAGGAAATCCCATAACACCTGGGAATTTCCCAAGTTTCAAAAGATGGGGAATTGGAAGAGAGAGGGAGCTGTTTCCTCCTACGGGTCACAGTGAAAGCAATGAGCTCTGCCTTCCCCCACTGCGGCACCCCTTGGAAACTGCAGGGGCCAGAGTGTAGTTGAAGAGCACAACCAAGCCCTGTGCCCTGCGGCTGTGTCCCCGCACACCTTGATCTCGATGCAGAGGATGGGCCGGTGCTCGGCGAAGCGGAAGGGCTGCAGCCGGGTCAGGTTGGGAAGGCACATCGCGTAACCGCTCAGCGTGTCCATGTCCTTGTCACAGCGACACTCTGCGACAGCAGGGGACAAACAACACCGACAGGGAGATTAGCTCCGGGCTGTTTGCTCGCTCTGGAGCGGCCTCGTTCACCAGGTGGGGCGTGGGAACAAGCGTGGAAGGACAGGACATGCAGTTTGTCAGCTTCAGCCAATTATGCATTTGCACAAAGTTGCCCTCCCCACTATCAACGCCTGGTTTCAGTTTCCTCAAAACTGTCCCAAGAGCTGCTGCTAATGGCCAGCTCCCAGCTCATCCCAAGAAAGGTGAGGCCTCAAACAGCAAGGAATTGGATTGGCCAACAACAGGTAAAGTGACTCATTCATGTTCTTATTCAAAGATGTGATCTCCCCTCTGCTTACTATGCACGACCTACCATCCCTCAGCTGAGTCAAAAGGATCTGAAACCTGGCAGGAATATCATAAACTTAAAAGGCATTCTGCATAAAAATCCTTTGAATAACCTCTCTCCACGTGCATCCTTTGGGACACAGAAAGCTCTGTGAGACTGTAGTTCAAAGTTAAGAAGAGCACACACCCCCAGATTTTCAAGTACCTGTTACTAAACAGACACGCAGAACACACGCTCCTGTTACAGATTCCACTGTAAGAAAAATGCCCACTCTGAAAAATATATTGCAATAGAAAAATAAATCTGAGAATCCAAAGCCTCAGGCACCAGCCTGTCATGCCATACTGCTTCACCAGGATGAGCAAGAAGCCTTCTGTCTCCAACAAAATGTTGACATTTGTTTTCTTTTTCTAAATTTAAGCAAAGTACATCCTTCACACCTTCACAGCTGAAAGCCACTTGCCAAATCAGAAAGGCACAGAAATCTGAACTATTAGAGAAGCTCTTTTGTATGTTACACAGGCTTATGTGAAGAATAACATTGAAAAAAAAATACCTGAGGTTTAAAAAAAAATTCCTGCTAAAAATGGACAGTGAGATTTACTGTTGTGAAGCACCTGGACACTTCCCCACAACCACATTGCAATCCCCAGCAGCTGTGGACACACGAAGTTTAACTTAGAAAAGTAAAACTAAATGCTAGAATTCAATTCCACCTGAGTATCATTGGTTTTTTTAACTTTTATTAGATACTATTAACTTTCCTCACTGGCTCCTGGCACTGTGGACCTGTGCTCACTATATGTAAATTGTGTGCTCACTATATGTAAATTAATTCCTTTTTTTTTCCTGGATGAAAGCATCAAAGCACTTGACTACAGTACTTTGATTTAACACTGTATTTATCTTCAAGGAGTTTTGCTAAAGCAGGAGTTTCTGGCCATTCTCAGGTACTTTTGGGGGCCAATCTCTTTGCCTATTTTAGAGCCCTCACATACTACTTTTAATTCCAGAACAGAATCCATTTTTTCCACAACAAATTTTCAACTTATCATTGTCTAAATATTAAAAAAAGTTTCTTTATATTCTGTAGTGTGATGCTTTTTTTTACTTTAGAAGAAAGGAAAATGCTTTACAGCTTGAGGAAGCCCCTTTCTAATCCCACCCCTGGCACTTACCTGGCCTCTCTGGCTGGATTTTCAAACAGAGCTGTCTTACAAAGTCTAAAGGCAGTTGAATAATTTCCTATTGGGGGAACAAAAAAAGAAAACATTTTAATGCAAAAACTAATACCCAGTTTGGGAGTCTTGAAATGGAACAGCAAAGTTCAGTGGGTTACACAAAGTACACTGAAGTGTGCAGTCAGCAGCTTCTCCCTGATTCACTGTCTGTGAACACCTACAATCACATGCAGCACCTGCTCCTCTATAAAAACCAGGGACTAATTTAAATAAATGCACAACAAAGAGCATTTTCAGTGCCAGTTTAATGTGTGCTGTGTGTGAAGGAACCTGCATCACTTTGTCCTTTCCACAAATGAAAAAGTGCCATGTCTCACATCCCACCCTTCCGAGCAGAACTGTGTAACTCAAGTTCCAGGTGAAGCTGTATCTTTTTCACTTATCTGATGTCCAGTGAACAAGATCTGGCTGCCCTGAAGAACAGAGCAAGGGAAAAAGGTGACCTCTGACTGCACAGAAACCTCAACAATTTATACAAACCAGGTTTCTCCCCTTGTTTTGCAGTTAAAAATCTCTCACTCACACCCCCCTTTTGTCTTAGGCAGAGCAAAGAAATGACCACACTTTTCATCAGTAGCTTGAAACAGCCAAGCCCCTGAGTCCAATCCAATCACCTCATCAGCACAGAGCAGGCTCCCTGTTTGCATCCAAATGCTTCCTGTGTGCAAACCCTGTTAGTTCCTTTCACTGGCACTCAGTGTTCCCCCAAACACTTCAGTGTTTACAATGCCTAAGCCATTTATTTTAAAAACAAATCCTTTACCCCATGGTGAACGTAGTTCTCCCCAAAGAACTGCTTCATCACATGTTTTCCGAAGTCCACGATGTTTTGCAGATGGTGTAGTATTTCCTCTGGAGTCTGGAAGACAGAAATGTAGTAACTGAACTCCAAAATAATGAAAACAACACTCCAGAACACACACACATCCTGGTTAGTGATTTAACAAATAACTTAATTGCTGAGCTTGGCAGGTCAGTGCACACTGAAGTGAAACAGACACATCAAACGTGCTGAATTTGTTTCCCTGCTGCTGCCTCAGGCTGGGACACAGAAAAATGGTCAGAAAAGATGATTCTTCTTCGGTTTTAGGAGACAAAGGAGAGAGAAAGTGACAAAGGTGGAAAAAGGGGAGACTGCCCAAGACCTACTCTGACCATTAGAACAGCTCAGAGAACTCCAGCAGCCCAAAGAGGTGCCCCACAGCTGCAGAGCAGAAGAGGCGTGGGGTGTTACAAAATACATCATGGAGATTGGGAAGAGAACAGCTGCAAAGACTGAGCCATATTCCAAACCTTGGCAAGAACAGGTACAGAACTTGCCATCTGTCCCAAATCCTGCCCCAGCCAGTGAAAAATCTTACTCTAATGTGATATTCTGTAATTTCATGAAGAAAGGTTTTCTCTGAGACAAGATGCCAAAAGCTAGAAAGGAAGCTCCATGAGTACTGGAAGCAGGACAGGGACAAGTGCACAGACAGACCTGGACAGACTCCCACTGGTTGAGGAGGGAGCAAAGGAGCTTTACAGCAACATTATCCCATTCCCAGCACTGCAGCACACTCTGCTTCTCTGCAAGGTGTTTTGTTGTCACAATGGAGAACCTCAAAGCTACTCTGTCCTTTTCTAACACACACACACAAAACCCTCTTAAAACCTCACAATAAGATTAAGTGGAGGAAAAGAAAGTGCAACACTTGGGAACATGTTTAGCAAATCAAAGAGGAAAAACAAGAGCAGGAGAAAAAATATATAAACAGAGCAGAGTAAGAGGAAATAAAATACTAGAGGACAACACCCAGACACTGACATAGCCTAGAGAAAGGAGAAAAGACCACATCCAGCACTAATCACAAATGACAAAAACCCCTTCTTTAACTTACACAAACCCTGAATGGTGACAAGGAACATTACATCATCTCATCAGGAACAGAAATCTCAGCTAATTCCCATTTACAGATGGCTCTGACCTGGTTTGCTGACGTACACAGCTGCTGTTTGTGTATATTCAAACACAGGTTTGTGTTTGGTTGGGGTTAACACACACACACAGACTCTCAGACTGAGAAATAAGCATTTCATTAAAATGTACTGCTGTCACTTTTACTGCATGGAAAGACTCACCAGTTAAAAAGATCAATACAACCATAAAATTATAAATCAAGCTTAAAATGTATTTTAAGAGCAAGTACATTTGACATATCTAAATGAAACAAAAAACAACTAACAGGCTACTTGAGCATCACCTTTTAACATCAAAAACCACTAAGATGAAAAGTTTTTGAAGGACCCATCATTACTGCCAGCTCACTCACCAAAACTTAAATAGGCTTTATATGATAATTTTTTTTTTAATTCTTTCATGAAGAAGACCATATACTAAAATAGCAATATGCAATTAAAAGCACTCCATGAGGCTGTCATCTGACTTTCTAATCAAGCAATGCAGGCCCTGCAGTTACATTATGGAGTATTTTTCAATCATAATAATAAGGCTACAATGCACAATAATACCCTCAACTACTGGGTTATCTAATCCCAAATTCATAACTAAACAGATAATTAAATGTACAAAGCAGCATCCAGACTTCTTTACCTTTCCCAAAAGAGTTAAGCAGAAGACACTGAGACCTATTTGCTCACATCTGAATTTCAGTGTGTGTTTTACTAGAAAACATTTTGCTTGAACTGCTTCCTTCAGCATTGTTTTCCTTGGATGACCTGTGATGTCATGCACAGACACAGAACACCTCAGAACCTAACTCATTTTGCTTAAGTCAGGAATACAGAATATTCCTAAAAAAATAAAACATTTTCCCTGTCATTCTTGCTATGCACAAGTTCATCCCAAAACTGATTCTCCAGGCTTTGTTTACTGATCTGATAATAAAATATTTCTTCTGTTCTGCTCCAAGAAAAAATGGTCCTTTAAAAAAATCAATCACCAGAATAAGTAAATATATTCAAATTACACACCCTTCTATTTAGAGGGAAGTGTGTATCACAAAGCCCACACACTGCCAGTGCAAGGCAAATGCAGAACTGGAGCAGGCTCTCCTCAAAATGCAGCACTGGAATATGAATGCCCAGCCTCAGTGCTGTGGTGGGTAACTGAAAAGTCACTTCCTGCCTTCCTTTGTGACTCTCTCATACTTTGTCAGTTTGTTAAAAACAATTACTGTGCCACAATCTTTTTGAACTTAAAACTTTAAAATTGAAAAACTAGAAAGGAAAAGAGACAGGCATTCAATGTTGTGTTTTATTAAATAAACTGCAACAGACTGACTTTTTACGTCAAGTTGTGGTCTAGTCCTCTCCTGCTGTACTGAACATTGAGATAAGCACTGTTTCCTTTCTTGTGGTGCTCTGGACTCATCACTGCTCTTGTTAACACTAAACATTATTATCTTGGGCTACTACCAAAGCACAAGATACATTTCTGAAATCCTGCCAACAAAAGCAGCTTAAAAATCTACTTGAATCATACTTTGGTTTTACCAGACCTTTTTTTCAGTTAAATAGTAGCAGAAAGATCATCAAATAATCATACATATGCTGTGTTCACTAATTTTGCCTTCCTCTGCTTTAGCAACTTGTCCCCTGTACATTTCACATTCATCTTCCTAATTTAAAGGAATAAAATGTCCTTTCTAGATGTTTACTTTATATTCATCCTTGTTTCTTTTTTCCAAAAATTAGGCACACACACCAGTTCTCAGTAGAGCCCCAATGCTTTTTGTATTCCCTCATCAGAACAATGTGTCACTGTGCCTCACAAGGCCGTGGTTCAGGGGCTGCTGTAACTCAAGCCATTCCCTCTATCTCTCAGGTAACACACCCTAAAGACTCCTCTCAAGGCTGAGGAAATGAAAGAATTTGAACCTTGTGCTCTCTTTTCCTATTTTTCTTCCTTGGAACACTATGTTTATGCTCCACCTTTGGTTTTTGATCATTTTTTATCCCTGTTAAAAGAAATCTCAAGTAACTCACTTCAGCTTCTTCTCGAGCAGGAAAACCTTATTGTGCCATGGAAGAAACTGGGAGATTGTGTCCTGCACGTTCTTTTTGTAACAGCTAGGACACTCAGTCACTCACTGACAAAGGGTATTTGTGAACATTTCATGTGTTTGTTCAAGTCCCATGGCTTTTTAGCTACTGAACAGGTGGTCAACAGCAGACCTTGACCATGACCCCAGCTCTGTGCAGCTCCTGTTCTGTCTCACCTGGCTGTACAGCCAGGAAAACTCCTCTCTTGCTCAGCATCCCTGTGCCCCCACAGGTGATATGGCACATTGTGCCACAGCTGAGAGCTCTGCCCTCTGACCCACAGCAGCCCCACAGCCTGCCCCACACACAGCTCCTGGGATCAGCACTCACATCACCCCAGTTACATAAGACAACCTCAGGTTTCCTCCTGTTGCCAAACCCCCTGAAACACGAGCACATTTCAAAACAGCCAGTTGTTCTTACTCCTGCCAGCCACAGCTCTTTCACAGGTTTCTTGTTTCTCCTCACACTGGCTATTAGTTTACCCAAGGGCATTCAGCAACAGGACAGGTTTAAATCTTACCTTATTCTGGTTGGGGGGGGACTTCAGAAACCGTAGCACCACACAGCGCTGGGGAAAATAGGAAAGAATAGGGATTCATTAGCATTTATAAACACCACAATTGTCTGATTCCCCAATGTACCTCTCTGAGAAATTAAGGGGAAAAAAAAAAAAAAAACAAACAGAAAAGCACATTTTAGATGGTTATTTCACTCAAATTGAAATCAAATACACCAGCTGAAATCAAAGACAGCAATGTGTGCTGCCAGCTCTGCCATCAGTTTAACGAGGCAGCCACTCTGCATTTCCAGTCACCAAGCACACCAGGGAAATGCTCCCTTCGCTTACAGCACTGCTCTGAAAATCTGGGAAAGCTCACATGGAACAACAAACACCCCCACCCTGGCATTTGTGCACCAGAACTCCCCAAAAGAGACACAAGGCCCATCTCACTTACAGTATCAGCAGAGCATTACAAATTATTAAGGAGACATTTAACAGTTACAAGCAGCAGCTACACAGCTGAACTTAACACTAAACTAAACCCTGCTGCTTGTAAACTTCTGTGGAGTAAGTACATAACACAGGAACAAATATAGCAGGTTTTCAAATATTTTACCCTAAAATCATAGGAAAACTCACTAATTTTTGTAATTTTTACAATTTTTATCAGCTTTGTAACAATTTTCAAAGCTCGAAGCTTTACATATTAAAATCAAAGTCTGACATGGTGTTAAGGAACCTGCAGCCTTAAAAGGCAACACACAGCCCTGCCTCTGGTCTGCCTCAATATCTGATACTAGAGATACTTACTTCCACTGATGTAAGTACAGGTACAATGGGACTACCAACAACTGGGCACCACAGAAGGCAGAGACAAGCAGCTCTTTTCCAGAGTTATCTCTTAGCCAGTCTGTCTCCATTTGGGCCTTCCCAAGACACACCAGAAAGTATTACATCCATTTAAAGCACTACCACACAAGTACATTCAGATTTGCTGACAAAGACAAGGCAGACAAAATGTCCCAGTTGCACTTTGGTTTTATGGAATCCAAGCTTTCTCCCTTCCAAATTATTTGCCATTAAAAAAAACTTCACATAGCATGACAGCACCAGATCTATTCCATGTTTCAGAGCTGAAAGCTCTTTCTGCACATGCTGAGGGAGAGAGCTGCAGATATCTTTAATTGCTAACATGGAGAGAAAGAGGAAACAAGAAAAAATAATGAGAATGTGCCATCCAAAACAAAAACAAAACTAGGTTCAGGTTCAGACATTACCACTGAAAGCCAGACAAGGCCCCTTCCACTCCTATAAAGTCTCACACCACCATAAATCTCAATGTTCACCCACATCTGGAAAACACTCCCACACAAAAGGACACTTTGCTGTGAATTTGATTTGACCTGCAAGAGCAAAGGAGATACCAGCAGAGTGGTAATTACAGTCACCTGGATTTGACAAAAGGCTTGGTGGCATTTCCTCCCTCTCTCATTAAGCCCTACCCATGGGTAACAGAGCCCAGGCCTGAGGAGCCTGTGCAGTGTGTTATTCTTACAGTGCTTCAACCATTTGGGTCTCCTGCTTTAATTATTCATTAGTAAGTGGATCAGTGATGGAGTGATCTGATTATCACTTCTAATCCATTGAGAAACATGATTCTGTAATCTTTCAAAGCTGGTGTAGATATTTATCTTTTAATCAGTTCCCAGCCAAGATTCCAACCAGTGCTCTGGAAAACTTGATTTGCTCTCACAGGACTCAGGACAGTATTTGTTCATCAGCAAGTAATTTCTGATTTGGCAAAATGACCAAAATTATATATGGCAAAAGAAGAACATGTTGCTGGTCTAAAGATGTCAAAAGGAAACACAGCACTGTTCAAACAGAGCTTCACAGATGCACTTAAACCAAACTACATTTTAGTAAGACTATTAGATTATTAGAGGAAACAAAATCATCACCAAACAAACAAAAAACCCACCCCAAAAAACAAACCTCAAAAAAACCCTCAAAACACTTCTTTCCTATTTTGAGGCAAGTTTCCAGCTAGAGACATCCCTCTGTACATTTCAATACCAGTTCCACAGCACCAGGGTTAATCCATCAGATGTCACAGATGCCAACTGCTTCAGAAGTATCACCACCAAAAATATTGGCCCACATTTTTCATGTTATTGCATTTCTGATTCACTTGGCCGATTCTTTACTTGGAAATATTGTGGGTGGTTGTTGCCATGAGGTTTTTTGTCAGTTATCTTAAAATGCCTTCAGTTTTTTATATTTACAGATTGAACACCAAATATGTGCCATACTTATCTGCACGCACGAGAATGGCCCAAATTCCAAAGGGAATGGATCTCTGAAGAGGCTGTCACTACTCCTTAGCACTTGGAGAATCAGCTCAGCTAGATCCTAAAGCTCCCTACACTTCCTTCTCCACAACCAGTGGAAGGGCTCACAGAGACACCCAGCACCACTTCCATCAAGGCATGGCACCATCAGAGTGTTTAGTTAGCTGGATAACAGTTCCAGAGAGATAAAAAGATGAAAAAGGCAGGCTGCAAACAGAAGGGGAGAAAAAGAAACAGTGCAGGGATGTAGGAAAATGTAACACATAAACATTAAAAGGCTTCATATCTTTTGATGTAAGATAAGTTAGAAAAATAATTAATTCAAAGGAAGAATTCTCTACTTTTTTTTTTTAATCCCTGCATATGTTCAGTCTCCATTTAGTGACAAAAGACTAAAAATAACAACCCATCAGAACATCACACATTACTGCTCGTACTCTCAAATAAGGAATTTAAGGACATCTCTCAGATGAGAGCAGAGCAGCTTGATGGCAGATAACAATGTTCTTAGTGGCTCCAGGCCCATACTAGGCCTACAACAACAACCATTTCCAATTGTTATGGCAAACTGAAAACAAACACTAGCAACAAGGATACCGAAACTGAAAACACACCCACCAGCGCTGGGCGGAGATGATGGAACCAGAGGTGGTCGGGGCAGCTCGATCCCAAGCGTTTGGAGCCCGCAGTTTACAGCCCCACCAAGAAAGGCAAACACCTCTTTAGCACCCCATCACCAAACAATTGTTAGGGTTAGAGCACCACAAAGTTAAGGACTGCCAATAAGGAGAGAAGGAGCTGTGAAAATACTCAGAATCGGTGGCATCGCAGACCAGCAGGATGTGTACACACAGCTCTTGTGTCCTGGGAAAAAACAGTGTCCTGTCCCCAAAAGCTTACCTGTAAGAATTTTTATTTTCCAGAGCAGTTACTACAGCTATTATATTAATCTTACTCAATCAAATCCAAAAAATAAAGTAATCCTTGGCAGCTCAGCCAAAATATGGCTGGAATCAGTCCAGGTACTTTGGATTAGGCAGTAGAGTTATGAAACCAGGATAAAAGCCTACATTTGTTTCTTTACAGCTTGGTGTTTGATAATGACCTTATTCTGTGACCTCACTGTCATAAAATGCAGGCCTCCTGAACTGGAGAGTTTTTAAAAGTTAAACACAACTGGGGCAAATCTATAATCTTGATATTCCCCTTCAGGGAACAACCTCTTTTGCATCATGGAGATTTTTTTCAGGTCTCTTTCTACATTAGTAATAAAAATCTAGATAAGAGTTGGTTGCAGTGAAAGAAATAGGAAAAATTAAAATCAGCTCAACTGCTGGTCAAATTGCTTAGATATACAGAAAGCTGTGTGCTTTCCCTCTGCTTTTACCACCTCTGCTCACTCATGTTTAAAATAAGTTTCTGTACAAAAATACAAAGAATTAGCCTGTCCAAACACAAAGCCTGGGAAACATCAGCCTCTCCTTTTCCAAATAAGCAGGTTCACGTCATTTGTTATTACTCTATTATTATTCTAAGCAGCACACATTAACTGCTTTTGTCTGGAGGCAAAGCACCGCTCTGACATCTTCCACAACTGGAAAAGATTCTCATCTCCTTGGGCTCACATATGCAAGACCGACTGGTAAAGAACAAGACTGAGAAGCAACTTCTCAAGTCCCAAAAGGAACTCCACCCCCCTTCCCACACCCATCATCTCCCTCACTCCACAACACCTCATAAATTCTGGTATCTAAAAACTCACCAGTATTTTTGCAGGCACTATTTGCAATTTTACATGACAAAGCTACTTATCTGTTGCTTAAAAAGGCACTCAATACAGAAACAGAGTAACTAAGCCCATCTTTCTTTTAAAGTTCTGTATGTTAAAGTCACAAGTTTCCAATTATAAACACGAGGTGAAACACTCTCAAAGACTGGTAACAAATCTTCTCTATAGTTCTTCTCTGCTATTTTTTGCATAATTTCACACACCACCACCAGCCACTGCCAAAGGAGATGAAGATACAAAGTCAAATACTTTTGGAGAAAATAGCGTCTGTAAAGGTTCTGAATTTCTTTGTAACTGGTTACTTAATTCCCTGTTTTGCTGACCCTGAAGAGCTACCAAGAACTTATCAAACTCCAAGGATGCCAGACCTGCCACTGTGATTATTCAGTGCTACCTAATCATTGTGGGTTTACAACAACCTACAGCAATGGCACCTACAGAAAGTACATTCTAATTGTCAGTCCAAGGGAGGGAGGCAAACTGAACACAGTGATATGCAAATACTGATTATTTATAATTTGCAGTTATACTGCAAATACTAAACCACAGTTCCAAGGGTACTCAACACGAACTATGGAATTGTTTAGCTGATATTAAGCTATTCCTGCAGTAGCACACTGCAGCTGCATGTAGTATTTGCCAACTAAAAAAATTATTCTGACTTTTTTTATTCCAAATCTACATCCCATAACTCCTTCAATTCCAATTCTAGTTTTAGGGGTTTGAACAGAAAACAATGGTTTTCTAGTCAGAAAATGCAATTTCTGGGAAGGAGAGAAATGGACAAAGAAGTGTTATCTTCACATCTCAGAAAAGACAGTGACAGGGAGAGTTTGTCCTTCTGAGAAATGGTGGAACTCAGTGCAAACATGCCCACCATACTGCCCAGGCACTTCAGCCAAAGCTTACCTACATGGTACTCAACA